AACAGGGCTAACCACTGGACCACCATGTCACCCATCTAGGAAAGGAGGCGGAATAGGGGTGGATCGGGGGATTCTTGGGAAAAAAATGGCTGTTATAGGAGACTTAGGGTATTTATAGTGGCTTAGGAATTGTCTGATTGGTTAATCATAAATTGGATAATGCGGGACCAGCTGCAAGCAATCATAAGCATGTGATCCTCTCGAAATTAGTTTATAAATAAACTTCACTTAAAGCAGTGGTTCTCAAAGTGGGGGTCGAGACCCCCCGAGGGGTCGCAGGACAATGAAGGCGGGACGCCTGGTGGTTTCCAAAAATCTATTTATTTTTATTAAACCAAAAGAATGACCATATTTTATCCATAACCAACTGAAGAGAAAAAATGGTTACTATATACTATTATATAGTTACTATAGTAGCTTATAGTTACTAGTTCTATTAAATTGCTACTTCTCAGGTAATTACATTATGTTAAAGACACAGCAATAGCATCAGATGCAGCAGATTGATTTTATAACACCAGGTTAAACTTTCTGGCTCATTTACAGCACTGACATACATACAAAAATAAAACAAAGAATAGACTTTGGTCGATTGGTATGTGTGCGCCATTGCATGCAAGGTTTATGTAATTATAACCACCTCCGAGGATATTGGGGGTCGCAAGTAACTGGCATTGTCATTTTGGGGGTCGCGGGCTGAAAAGTTTGGGAGCCCCTGACTCAAAGTACATGGTTCCAGTGCATTTTTCTTTTACTTTTGCTTTTAAAAACACAATTGATTGGGTTATGGAAGGATTTGGGTGAGTGGTTCACTGGTGATTTGTACCACAATCCCTTCCTTCTCACAGACATGTACAATAAGGATGTGTATCTCAAACATACAACAAGGCATACTCTAAGTAACTATTACAGAAAGTCCGGTCATGATATCTGTTTTTTTTCATACAATATATTGCACTAAAATATTTAGCAATAAATGATTTTATTGTCATTTTAAGATCATTTTATGTCACTCATTATATAATTCCAGAATGAGAATATAATTGTTACAATCGAGGTTGGGGGAAAAAGGAGCGATGACTCAAATGCAAAGAAAACGGGTATTTATTAATGGTAAGAATAAAATAAACAACAAAATAAACTACTACGAGGGGGAAAACATTGATGAAATAAACAAATAAACACACAAACAAGACTGGGCAGGCTGGCAGGGATCCGGACGGTAACACACAAGACTGGAACAGAACAACGCAACATATGATGATGAACTGGCACAGGACAGCAGACATAAGGAGAATATAAGGAGAAGTAAATTAACACAAACAGATGAACACAATTAACTAATAATGGGTTAACAAGGAGGGTTGGACTACACAATAGAAGGGAGAGCACATGACAGAAAGAGACAACACAAGCCATGCGCTCACATAAAACGAGACTAGAACACGCAGCCAATGAGAGAACTCATTAACCGCGTGTTCATGACAACACAAGCACGCGGTGCATGTAAACATACACCACGTGCTAAACACAACACCAACAGAAGACTGAACGCGAGACACGAGAACACGATGAATGAAAACACTCACCGTGCACTCACACACGCAGCGTGCATGTCTCATCCCAGCGCCGACCAGAACCGAAACCAACTAGACTGAGATGCTTGCAATGAAACACTACGCTGCAGACAGACGAACGTGAACACCCGCAATTGCAAACACACATAGACCTCACAAGTCTGCATCAACCGGGAACGTGCACAGTCTAAGCACCTTCACAATTGGCGCTCATACAGAGACACCTACAATGACAGAAACAGTACAAGACAGAACTAGTGTCCAGACTCTGCCATCAAAACAAGAATTTACAAGACCAGCGTGGCAGAACCCTGACAATAATATCATCACAATGCAAGTCCACTTCTCCAAAGAACAGATAATACTTCATTCTTAAGAATATTTCTTTTATTTATAGTCATTTTAACAACTTAATAATTAGGCTTTGAAATCAGAATGTAAAAATGCATATCCTGGGCTAAAATGTTGCTACAATTGGTTATGAATTGGCAATATATATTGCATTACTAAAAAATATTGAAGTCAAATTCATGTATTGTGCGATAAGTCGATACAGGCAGTGATAGGCCTAATTACAGTTTTGCAAATGTACACAGCGTCCTCTAATGGAATTGCCAATTTAAATGTGCAATGAAATGTGCAATGAAATCAACCCCGTAGCAACGTCTTTTATGTTACACAAATAACACAGCTTGTGCCAAAAGCAAGGTTGTACAGTGTATAATTTTCATGAACAGTTCTTAAAAAATTGTTTATTGTAAAGAATATTTTAATTATCGAAATTTCTTTTTTTTTCAATGAAGATGCCTTGATGTTAAAGTGAAAATATTTTTTAAAAATGAAAATAAATGTTTCAAAAGTTAAAGTATGCAGAAAAAGATCATTTTGCTTTTCTCAAGCATGTCTAATGAAAATATATATTCTAAAAAAGCAATCTAAAGACTAGGGATGTAACGGTATTGTAAATACCGTCATACCGCAATATTAATTTTTTTCGATATTACCGTAGTCGCATGACTCGGTAAAACTATAGGTCTTTTGAGAAAATTTGCTCAGGCGAATGAAGCGAACGGGAGGTAGCGGAAACTACAATTCCCATCAGCCCTTGCGGTCTGTTGTCGCTACAGATACAGTAATGCGGAAATGGAGTGTGCTGCTAGAAGCGGGCATCAAAAAGAGCTGGAAATGATCGAACCTGAAGCGGGTGTTGTCGTCGCATGCGTACTGAATAGCGGTGTTGTCGCGCGCGTTCTGATCAGCTGTGTTGTCACGCGCGTACTGAATAGCGGTGTTGTTGCGCGCGTTCTGATCAGCTGTGTTGTCGTGCGCCTACTGAAGGGCGGGACGGAGGGTGTGACACAGCACACTGTTCAGATTGATACAGACATGAGACCTCTATCTATCTCATGGCTTGTCCTCTCAAGTGGGGGAAAGACAATGCACAACGTTACCCACTGCTGTCAACCTGGGCCAAGTCATATCTCTCTGTCCCAGAAACCTCAGTCCCAAATGAGAGGGTTTTTTTCTGTTGCAGGGGACATTGTAAATGCCCAGAGATACCAGCTTTTACCAGATTATATTTATATGATAATTTTCCTTAAAATCCATCTCTATCTAAGTGAGTGAGTGATTAAATGTTGAATGTGATGAGTTTTTAACAATACTAAATTGAAACTTTATTTTTTTACATGGTTTAATAATTTTTTGTTATTAAAATTGAAGTTCCTGTTTCAAAGCTTACAGATAGATGGCTAATTTGTATGTCATTGACACTTTTGGCACTTTTTTGGAGTATTTTCATAAGTTTTGTTTTTTCCTGTAAATGATTCAATAAATACCGTACCGTGACATTCATACCGAGGTATTACCGTACCGTGAAATTCTGATACCGTTACATCCCTACTAAAGACATTTAACCTTTTTTTCACCACTTTAATTTGTAGATCATTTTTTTTCTTTTACCTATTGATTGTTGTGATAGGCCTAAATATTAATTCATTCATTTTCTAAGTCCCTTTATTAATCCAGGGTCGCCACAGCGGAATAAATCGCCAACTTATCCAGAACATGTTTGATGCAGCGGATGCCCTTCCAGCCGCAACCCATCTCTGGGAAACATCCATACAATCTCAATCTACGCAGATTGAGGCATGTATTTCCAAAGAACCTGAGCTGCTATTTCGAAACAGCAAACAGCGATTGGTCAGAAATCAACATGACTTTAAAGTCCACATGACAAGAATTAAAGAATCAAAACTCAATCATCTAACACAGTGACAACAGTTACAGTTACATAAGTATTGGTCAGTCTGAATCCTGAAAAAGAAACTTAAAAAACACAAACATGTTAACAGGTACAGCCTGGTGACTACATTTGATTTGAATGACTGCAAGTCGAAGAGGAATAAAATGGTGCTATCCACTTGTTAAGTGTGACGTCACGCGAAGCCGCTTCCGGTTCTAAGGGCTCTATTCAGCTGTATGGGGAGACTCATGAAATGGTAATAATAAACGTTTACAAAGCGATTTAATACTTTCGAAAATCACGATCGCAATATATATATGTCCATGCCTAATATCTGATGGCCAGAAAATAATTCATTTTTTTAATAAATTGTTACAAATTTTGGTATTTGTGATGCAGCAAGCCCAGAGATTGTTTTGCACACTATGACTTTATATAAAATAACCTTTATTGTGTGATATGAATTAAAAGTGATCATTAACAAATAGTTTCTCAACTCAAATGAGTGGCGGCTTGGACCCGGAAACAGTATTACATACGTCACCAACACGTCATCACTTAACAAGCAGATAAAAAGCCTAACCCATACAACAGGCAAAATGTGTTTTAGAAATGTCATAAATTTACAATTTACATTTTGATCAAAGCAAACTAACAAAAAAGCCCGATATTCCATGACTTGGACAAAATAATCTATAAAAAATGGAATTGAACTGGAACTGGTTTTTCATGATAATCCAGAATTTGACCAAGCTTGACCAAAAAACATAACTAGGGTTTAAGAAATTGAACCTCAATCTCTGGGTTTCCTCTTTAAAAATGAGGCCATTCCAGCAAATGAGAGTTATTAGAAACCAGTTATCTGAAACCAGAATGGATTTGCTTCAACAAAGCAAAAACAGATAGATTTCAGGCATCACGGGCACTATTCATCAAATACATTAATTCTACACCAACTGGCTTGCTGTTATAAATCTTCTATGACAGTCTGCTCTGATGTTTTTACATTTATTTTTGTCGGCCGCTCCATTTAGCTCTGTCCAACCGCTGTGCCCTGGTCTATTGCATGAGGGAAGCTCACATGTCAGACAGATCTATGAAGCTATATTGTTACACTAGATCTGAGATCCCACAAGGGAGGCTGCCTAAGGTCTACTACAGATGAGCAACAGTTTTACCTTGATGAGCTCTTCCAGCTCATCGGGGGTCACGCAGGGATGCTTCAGGAGGAAGGCAGCTTTCTTCAAAGTGATAGAGTCTTTTTGGTAGCGCTCAAAGTGTTGCTCCAGAGCTCTGAAGACCAGACCGCCGGCAACCAGGTAGGCTACCACCACCACAAACACGGCAAGCACGGTCTTCCACTTCATGACTGTGAGAAGGGCTGAACCGTCCGCCACCGCTTCCATGCTGGCCACCATACTAGCTGGTCGGGAGACAGAAAGCCGAGGTAATGAGCAGCCCATGGGGTTCTGCATGGTGGCCACGCTGGCCTGCACCAAGCTGGACTGCAGCATCCCTGGCTGGACCTTCTTTGGTGGCACCAGGTTGGTCTGCACTGGCACTGTTGGAAAAAGATACAATTCAATTCATGTTTATTTATATAGCGCTTTTACAATGTAGATTGTGTGAAATCTACATTGATTGTTTGAAATCTACATTGATTATGTGAAATCTACATTGATTGTGTGAAATCTACATTGATTGTTTGAAATCTACATTGATTGTGTGAAATCTACATTGATTATGTGAAATCTACATTGATTGTGTGAAATCTACATTGATTGTGTGAAATCTACATTGATTGTGTGAAATCTACATTGATTGTTTGAAATCTACATTGATTGTGTGAAATCTACATTGATTATGTGAAATCTACATTGATTGTGTGAAATCTACATTGATTGTGTGAAATCTACATTGATTGTGTGAAATCTACATTGATTATGTAAAATCTACATTGATTATGTGAAATCTACATTGATTGTGTGAAATCTACATTGATTGTTTGAAATCTACATTGATTGTGTGAAATCTACATTGATTGTGTGAAATCTAAATTGATTGTGTGAAATCTACATTGATTGTGTGAAATCTACATTGATTATTGTGTGAAATCTACATTGATTGTTTGAAATCTACATTGATTATGTGAAATCTACATTGATTGTGTGAAATCTACATTGATTGTTTGAAATCTACATTGATTGTGTGAAATCTACATTGATTGTTTGAAATCTACATTGATTGTGTGAAATCTACATTGATTGTGTGAAATCTACATTGATTGTGTGAAATCTACATTGATTATGTAAAATCTACATTGATTGTGTGAAATCTACATTGATTGTGTGAAATCTACATTGATTGTGTGAAATCTACATTGATTGTGTGAAATCTACATTGATTATGTGAAATCTACATTGATTGTGTGAAATCTACATTGATAATTTGAAATCTATATTGATTGTGTGAAGTCTACATTGATTATGTGAAATCTACATTGATTGTGTGAAATCTACATTGATTGTTTGAAATCTACATTGATTGTGTGAAATCTACATTGATTGTGTGAAATCTACATTGATTGTGTGAAATCTACATTGATTATGTAAAATCTACATTGATTATGTGAAATCTACATTGATTGTGTGAAATCTACATTGATAATGTGAAATCTACATTGATTGTGTGAAATCTACATTGATAATGTGAAATCTATATTGATTGTGTGAAATCTACATTGATTGTGTGAAATCTACATTGATAATGTGAAATCTACATTGATAATGTGAAATCTACATTGATTGTGTGAAATTTACATTGATAATGTGAAATCTACATTGATTGTGTGAAATCTACATTGATTGTGTGAAATCTACATTGATAATGTAAAATCTATATTGATTGTGTGAAATCTACATTGATTACTGTGTGAAATCTATATTGATTGTGTGAAATCTACATTAATTATGTGAAATTTACATTGATTATGTGAAATCTACATTGAATATGTGAAATCTACATTGAGTGTGTGAAATCTACATTGAGTGTGTGAAATCTAGTGAAGTTTATTCATAAACTAATTTCGAGAGGATCACTTGCTTATGATTTATCGCGGCCGGTCTCGCATTTGCTAATCACTATCTTCCAATCATATGAGCCCTAAGCTACTATAAATAGCCACAGTTTTCAGTTCACTTTATCTTCGTTTGGAAGAAACCCCCCTCCTCCCCTATTCTCCTCCTTTACCTCTGATTGGGCGGCACGGCGGCCCAGTGGTTAGCACTGTGAGCTCCACAGCAAGAACATTGCCAGCCCTGGTTCCACAGGATCGGTGGGTGTTTCTGTGTGGGTTTTCCCCGGGTTCTCCGGTTTCCTCCCACCATCCAAAGACATTCAACATACATAACAATCAAGCTTTGTCTAATCCCTTGTGTTCCCTTAGCTACCGCAGCAGAGGAGTTTTGAGATCCACCGAGCTCAGGCTCCCCTCTTGCTCTGCCAACGGGAGGAATCCCCGGGCTCGAGGAGCCCTTGAGCTCGGGGCTCTCTCCCGGGACAGCATGCCAAACAAGCTTTTATAAATCATCAGCTAAGTGTGAACTCTTGAACATTGATTGTGTGAAATCTACATTAATTGTGTGAAATCTAAATTGATTGTGTGAAATCTACATTGATTGTGTGAAATCTACATTGATTGTGTGAACTCTACATTGATTGTATCAAATCTACATTAATGTGCCGTTATGTCATATGTAATTTACAGAACTGGACATCAGGTCAAGTGTTGGTTATTGTCTAATTCTAAACTAAAATCTAAACAAAACAAAAAAAAAGAAGTTTAATGTAGTTTACACTCTTAAAATGAAGGGTTCCCATGGAGTTTTCTTTGCAGTGATGATTATTTTGGCTCTTACAGTGTGGACAGGGCTTTACAATAACATCCAAATGATAGTAGATTTTAGAGACTTAGATTTAGAGACAGCCACTCCCATTAGCCACTTTGGCTGGCTGAAACTCATTTTTAAATTGCCAGTGCTGGCTCGTCACTACAGATTAGACTGTTAGTTTATGACCGTTCGTCTTAGAATCGAGAAGCAGCACAACTGACAAAAAAGCTTTTCGTGCGAGCAAAAGAAAGCAGGTGAATAACAAATGAGAGGATCATGCGCACGGTGAGAAAGGGTTTCCTCACTCACTGACGAGGGCTTTAGTGTCACGCGCACAGATGATATGATGCGCGCGAGTGTTTAAAAGCTTTGCCTGGAAACGAAACTAGTGTGATGCTCGTGCACCCAGAGTCCTTCAAGGGCTCGAGATTCTTTGTAAGCAGCAGCAGTTGTTGTCGCTTTAGCTTTAACCATTTTTCGAACAGATTAATTGGCCTAACATTAACCGTGATCGCAGCATCATCCTTTCAAAATCGCTCACAGAATGTTTTTTGACCCCATTCTTTGCTTGCTGTTATTCCTTTTTAAGTTTAATAATCATTCTTTACAATAATATTGCTTAATAATGTTGTTGTATGCATAGTTAACTGGTGATCTGGGATCTTGAACCAGAACAAACCACTGTGCATAGTTTTATATGCGTGAGAATATCATTTTTAAATGTCAGCTGTTTTGTTGAATAAAAAGTGTATGTATACAGCAGTATTTTGCTTGTTTTTACACATTATTTAAAAATTGTGGCAAGGAAATAATTAGCTTGGTAAGGCCAAAATAGCATAACCCATTTGCTCATGCTCATTGAGTAAGCTCATAAACAAAAAAACAGTTAAATGAACGAGGAGACTAGTGGAAAAAACACTCAATCTAAATGAAGTAATTTTAGCATGCCGCAACCCATGCCAAAGACAAATTTATGCATATAAATATATTTTTCCAACAACAAATTTGTGGCTAGTTAAAATGGCGAGTGGCTAGTAACGGTGGAAAACTACTAGCCACAGTAACTGGTGATCAAAAAAGTTAATATCAAGTCCTGAGTGTGGACATGAACCAAAAAAAAAACCCGTAATAAAATGCTGGGTTCCACACAATCCCTTCATGTCATCTGCAAATCGAAGTTAACTTCATGTTTCTTTATAGTTTTAAGTTGATTGAACATAAAACAATAAAGTTGTCCCTAAATAAATTGAGAGTTGTGTAGTGAAATTTTGTTGGAGTTTATAATAACTTGCTGTCTCTTAAGTCATGATTAGAATTTGATTTACAGAAAATAAGAACATACAGTTGAAGTCAGAATTATCCGCCCCCTTTGATTTTTTCTTTTTAAAGAAATTTTCAAATGATGTTTAACAGAGCAAGGAAATTTTCACACTATGTCTGATAATATTTTTTTCTTATGGAGAAAGTCTTATTTGTTTCATTCTGGCTAAAATAAAAGCAGTAAAAAAAAATAAATAAAACATTTTAAGGTCAAAATTATTAGCCCCTTTAAGCTATATATTTTTTCGATAGTCTACAGAACAAGCCATCGATATACAATAATTTGCCTAATTACCCTAACCTGCATAGTTAATCTAATTAACCTAGTTAAGCCTTTAAATGTCTCTTTAAGCTGTATAGAAGTGTCTTGAAAAAACTCTTGAAAAATTTCTAGTCAAATATTATTTACTGTCATCAAGACAAAGATAAAATAAATCAGTTATCAGAAAGAAGTTATTAAAAACTATTATGTTTAGAAATGTGTAAAAAAAATTTCTGTCCGTTAAACAGAAATTGGAAAAAAAAAATAAACGACGGGGCAATAATACAGGGGAGGTAATAATTATGACTTCAACTGTAAATAAACCTCAAAGTACAACATAAAAGCAAATTTATTGCAGCCATAGCTTCGTAAACCTTTCATCTGTTTTATAATTCAACATTGCAATATAAACATCTCTCATTTGCTTTGCTTGTATATATAAAGGTGTGTGTGGAAGAGATTATTGGTCAGGGTTAACAAAAGTGACTTAACAACATAGGGAACCAAATAATTGAAATAAAGAATATGTTACTCTCACAGTCGCATGCAATCCGTCCCATATGGTAGACTGGTTGTTGTACACTACTATATAAGATACATATGATCAATTCCTGTATCTTGCATTATAACCATACCATACATTACACAGCTAGTGTCAAAAGCAAGGTTGTACAGTGTATAATTTTTGTGAACAGTTCTTTAAAAAAATGTTTAATGTAAAGAATATTTTAATAATCGAAATTTCTTTTTTTTTTCAATGAAGATGCCTTAATGTTAAAGCAAAAAGATTTAAAAACTGTTAGTTAGAAGTAAAAGTTAGAGTATGCAGAAAAAGATCAGTTTGCTTTTCTCAAACATAATGAAAAGATTTATTCTAAAAAAGCAATCTAACGACATTTCAAGGTATTATAAATGCAAATAGAGACTCTTTATTTGTAGATAATATTTTCTTTTACCTTTTGTAGATTTGGTCATTGTTCCTGAGGATGAAAGCAGGACGCACAGCCTCTTCATGATGGAATCTACAGTAATTTGGTTGGCTTACAACAACTGACAGATGAGTTTGCGACAATACCGTAAAGTTTGGACTCACAGCCCAGAAGCCAAAAAGAACAGATAGACTATGCATTCCCTGCTTTTTTTTAATTAAACCTGATAAATCTTTGAGTCTTGAAATTCCAAATTCACGATTATTTTGTATTTATTTTTCTGCATTTCATGTTTCCCTGCTGTCCACTATCATGTAATAACAGGCATGTTTCTGTTGCAAACCAGTGATTTACCAAGTCATTTATCTACACCATAAAAGTTGACACTTCAAGGACTAAATAATAAAATGATTAAATAAATAATTAATTAAATAAATAAATCCCACAAGCAATTATTCTGACTTAAAGTTACATTAAAATATGTTTGTTTGTTTTTTTCCACATTGATGCCTCTTGTACATTGTCTTATCTTTTAGGTGAAGCCTGTCATTTCTGGTAAAAAAAACAAACAAACTTGCTAGTATAATAAAACTTAACTTAATTCAGAATTACCTAGGGGTATAAAGAATTTCCAGCTTGATTGTATATCAAAAATAGTTATTTTTTGAGTTTAGGGTTTGTTTCCCTCTTATGCTCATTTTACTTTCATTGTGACAGAGTGATTTTAAATGAATGCAAACAAGTTTAGAAAAGGAGTTGTTTCTCAGTACATGGATCCACATAAAGCCTCTGATCACTGCTGCATACACCACCCCTCACCCACACACACACTTTTGTTGGCTTTGAAAAACCTATTACAGTAGAAAGCAGCAGTACTGGGTGGAGCAAGATAAGCTAGAGTTCCAAACCACTGGCTACATTTATGAACACATAACAGAATAAAATAAAAAAATCCACCAAAAAAAATATATTTCTGCTTTAATACTATCAATATATATATATATATATATATATATATATATATATATATATATATATATATATATATATATATATATATATTTTACATTATTATCAGATAAAGCAATTTTCTCAACTTTCTTTAAGTCAACCAATGCCAACACCTGCAATATGATGTAGTATTGCACAGCTGTTTATGTGGACTGTCCCTGCAGCATGACCGCAATAATTCACTGTGACAATCCGACCGCTTGTTTACAAGCCGTTTTGAACCTTTCTTCAGATTCCCCAAGGCAAATTATTACACTTATAATTAGCCTTCCATAACTGATTTGAATTTTGATTGAAATAGAATCCAAAATGACTTTGAAACTATTCATAGACACAATATGAATTAGGGGAGAGTTTTGTAAAAAAATCTAAAATTTCCAAATAAACTAATTCAGTTTTAGTTATTTTATTTTATTTTTTTAAAGATCACAAAGTAAATGTTGATCACCTAATCAGCAACATAAGGCAGTGTCGTGAGTAGCCTAGATGTAATTTGTCGGTACATATAGTAAGATTAGGTAATGCTCGTGTGTCTCCCACGTTTCATTATGCGTCCCCCGTATCTCTGCATAGTACTCGAAGACTTGTAGACGCGTCATGGTAGCAGAATATCTCTAAATTGTGCATTTTAATGCTCATACAGACTTATACAGAAGTTTATTGGCTTTTTTCCTCTTAAATCTTGCTAGAGTAATACAGTAAACCTCAGTAATAATAGTCACTTGATCACGTCGTGATTGAGGAAGACCTCTCAAACATCAGGCTGTTGTGATTGAAGCGCGTGGATGTGAATCTTAATAAAGGTGTCCACTGAAGAATTGAGGCGGACAGAAGAGATGCATTATTACAATCAACTTAGATGTTAAACCTTTGATATTGCACCACTAACTGATCAAAGTCAACCTCACCCATTGGTACTCCATCATCATTTTGCGCATCTTGGTTAAAGTGCTTTTAATGGGATTTGTTGGGTTCCCGAATCACTCATCATGACAACTGGCTGTCAGAGCGCGTGTATGCTTCGTTATGCTCATAATAACTTCTGTCTAAGATGCAGGATGAACAATATACGGCATGTATGACAATGGCATTTTGGAAAGTAAATGCACCTACCAGGTGGAGGGTTCCAGTTGCCCGGCTTCCTCGGGTTTTCCGTTGGAAATTTCATTTTGAATTGCAGTTTAATTCATGATATGGTCGCGTTTGCTGAAGAAATGAAGAAAAAAACAATTCAGGAAGATGCGGCGTAACTGTTGAATCATGCTATTTTCCTGGAAGTCATTCTTTTTAAACGTGACAGGGAGGTAAATGGGTGCAGGCATGAGATCATCTTCACAGGCGTGTAGAAGGATGGTTGTGCTGCCGCTAGACTCGCATGCATCTGCCTCGATCTCTTCATGGCACTTAAGAGTTCCACATCACTCCGCCTTTAGCCAGCTGCACCATTTTCCGCGCGTCAGAGACCCTTTGTGTGTGAGGTAAACAGTGGAGGTGCTGCTGAAGTCCACGCGCTGTTGGGGGCATCGTCTGAACCTTTCTCGAATTGACTACATCGAGAAAGCTGTTCTCGGTAGCCGCAGTATGTGGCAAGCTAGTTTAACATTTATCCCCTCAGACTTTTTCAGTTTCGTGATTGTTTCGTTTTTGTTTCGTTTGTTTTTAATAAAACGTATCAATGCATGACCATTTTATTCAACACAGGCTCATAGGAAATGATGCAGTATGACGCCAACAACTTTTGTTCTTTTCACACAACTGATATTTACAGGCACATATTAAGGAATGTGTATAAATAAATAAAAAAACTTAAACGTGTCTATAATTTGTAATTGATAATAATGCAATGTAATCGAATCGAATGGAATTGTGCTCATGTCCACTGTTCAATGCACCATCTCTCTCCGATCAGAAGAGCAATTCTCCACTGATCAAATAAAAATGGCCAAGTTTTCAAAAGGATTCCCTTCAGAGAGGTAGTCTCAGCCTCAGACGTCATCCCAAGCACCCACCACAGACCTTTCATTAGATGTCTAATGCACATGGAACATTTTCCTGGAAACCTCATCCTCTGAATGGTTTAAAAAAGTAGGATTTCCAGAAGTCGAGTGTACAGTAATCTTATTCAGCCCATCTGAAAACAAGTCTGAGTAGATAAAAAAGCTGTAAGGATTATATTGATGACAGTGCTCATTAATAAATGTATATATAATATAACTTTCTAAGACACTGATGAATCAGTGATTGTGACAATGAGCATTTATCAGTTTGACTCATTGTTAAAATATACAACACTCACTGTAAAAAAAAAAAAAAAAAAAAAAAAACTTTCACAGGTGATGTCGACAAATAAGAGTAAAAACCTAAAAACATTCTGTCATTTTGGTCATGAACTATCATAGTACGATGCATGGTAAATGAACGATGTAGTGATGAGTGTCATAATGACTGAGTAACAACTTTTAGAGAAAATGAGCATAATTATTATTATTTTTTTTTTTTTTGTAGAAAAATATATTGTTTTACACCAACACTTTAAAAAAAATCCAATATTAGTTTCGTTAAAAACATGCACTCTTTTTCTGTATTAATTGAAATATATGTAAACGGCACATATGCCTATGTTTCTTTTACAAATATTATTGAGAATATCCTTTAATCCATGCTAAAACATAAAACTACTAACACTTTAATCTCATATATAAATCATAACAACTGTTAATGATTGTAATTTACAGTAGGCTATTTGGTAAGAAAAGTCATAATAATAATAATTATTATTATTATCATCATCATCATTGTTTTCTAATTGTTAAGTAGAATATTGTTTATTTATTTATTTTTTTATTTTTGGAAAAGTCTACTTGACACATTCAAACTGCTGCAAAAATGCTCTAACCACTAGGCCCATGTCATATACAGTAGGCTACAGACACATTTCTTAATACATATAGCCAACTATAAATTAAAACCAATAGCATATGCTATATATTTTTGGTTTCGCAAGCTTTGAGGATGTTTAAATAATTAAATAATAATCACCATAGCTTTCGTCATGAGCCATGGCTGCATTCAAAATATCATAAAAGATTTCATAGTGCACTGCGAAGGAAACGCAACTGTCAAAAGGAAGATCGCTAGAACTGAACTGTAAACATTTGTAAAAATCTGTAAAAAGAAGACCTTAATGTTTTTTTGTTTTTTTAACTTTTTTTTTTAATCATTCCGAGTTTAAATGGGGAACATTCTAAATGAATAGGGCACAATAGGGGATAATGAATAGGGATAATTGGGAATGGAACACAGGCAGGAACTATATGCTTAACTACTACAGCTCTAGAGGTGTAGTTACTAGCGTATAAGTTTGCGACGCAGTTTGCCAATGTTTATTGGAATGATGGATTTGGGAAATGGAAAATAAACAAACTATGTTTGTAATGATGGAACGTGCGACCTTAGATGGCTAACGATGGTTTTCGAAAACGTATTTTGTGGATACAAACAAATAGGCCTACAGCAAAACCTTGCTTATATAAAACAAGTAAAACTTTTACTCAGTCATCCATCATCTCCATCTGCCTGATCTTTATGTAGACACCTATCACCAAAATAATGAATAAATCTCAGAATTCAATCCCAAGTCTACATGTCCTACTGATTTCCTATATGTTTTGCTAACAGATCAGTAAGGTGTAGGAACGAATTTTACTCTCACTTAAATGTGCCATGTAATAAAACAACAAAAGCTTATGGAGAAAAAGACCCAGGGTAGACTTTGCCCTCTTTCCTGAACCTTGGTATATAACTCTGGTATTGTTAAAACTCAGGTGTAACCGGTAATAAGGTTTTGTTCACAATCTTTAATAAATTTTGATTAAATCCCAACAGATGAGTTAAACTTTAAGTCACTGATTAATTGGCTGCGTCCGAAACTGCCTACTACTCAGTAGGTACTGCATTTGAATTTAAACGTACTACTCGGCCGTTAGAAAAGTACGTTCTATACAGTATGAATGTGAAAAGTATGAATGGAATTCGGACGTACTACATCCGTAATTTTGTCATGGTCATGTGACCTACCTGCGTCAGTTGCGTCACCTCACTTCCATTCATGAATTCTCTCACGGGGCATTATGGGATAGCGCAGTGTGCATGGGATGCGCACTTCAGAATCTCGCCGGAAGTAGTAAGTCAACCGGGTACTTCTCGCCTACTGATTTTTGAATTCTATGAATTCGGACATACTACTCGGCTCGCATACTGATTTTAGCATACTATATAGGATGGAAGTATGCGGTTTCGAACGCAGCCTTAGTCAAAATAAAAAAAAAAACTAAAAAAGAGAGAAGGGTAAAAAGTCTGTATCAAGACCGACTCATAGTGCACCATGTATAATGTGGACTTCCATATATACTCTTAGATTTATTTTTGAGTAATAAATGTTTTGCATTTACTTTAGAATTGTGTTTTATTGCTACGTTTCCATCCACCTATTTTTATGCTCACTTTGGATCTGCGCATAAAAAAATGATTGATGGAAATGCCAAGAAGCCCATAAGTTTTGATTATATATATACATATGCGCATAACTGAGTAGGATGAACTTTTTATTCAATAAGAATAGATGCACATAAACTGCGATAGAAACACATTTCAAACAAATGTCAGTATGTGTATTAAAAAAGGTCCATTTGACTTTGTTATAAGATCAACTGTTGATAATAATGTGTGTGAATGGATAAACTAGCATGCTGAGCACACTGTAAAACATCTGAAATGTTGTTTTGCTCATTCTAAAATGCCATTTCATTTAACCATTTCAATATTGGTGTTACTATATTGTTAATGACCTCCAGAACTTTCAAGAGTATCTGTGCTCCGCGTCTTATGCCTTCAAACGTCACTGCGTGTTCACTGCGTGTCAGGATTGTCTTCTGAGGCACAAGTCATTTATTCAATCAAGAAAAGATTCACACAGCTTCTCTGATCACAGCCAATTCCGTTTTTACTGTTGATATTTGGTGCCAGATAATAAGAAAGTGACGATTTTGTTCTCTTTGACTCGTTGGATGGAAACTCTGCTTTATTTGCATGTCTTTTATGCGATAATCTAGTTTTACGCATAAAGTTTATTTACATTTTTGGATGAAAACATTGCTATTGTTTTACTGTAATTGGCATGATACACTTTTATCTAGAAAATAAAGTGTTAAGTTTTGATGCATTATGAATTCTCCCAATATCTTTTTTGGATTTTTTGGAGGCGCAGTAGTGCTGTAGTGCTGTTGCCTCACAGCAAGAAGGTCGCTGGTTCGAGCCTCGGCTGGGTCAGTTGGGTTGTTTCAGTGTGGAGTTTGCATGTTCTCCCTGCGTTCATGTGGGTTTCTTCCAGGTGCTCCGGTTTCTCCCACAATCCAAAGACATGCGGTACAGGTGAAATGGGTAGGCTAAATTGTCCGTAGTGTGTGTGAATGGATGTTTCCCAGAGATGGGTTGCAGCTGGAAGGGTATCCGCTGCGTAAAACACTGCAGCCGGCAGGGTTACATGGTCACCCACCGAAACTAAGGAGAACTGCACCCAGTCAGTACCTGGATGGGTGACAACATGGGAAAGCTTATTTGCTGCCGGAAGAGGTGTTAGTGAGGCCAGCAGAGGATACCCAGCCTGTGGTTTGTGTGGGTCTTAACGCCCCAGTATAGTGAAGGGGACTCTATACTGCTCAGTGAGTGCCGTCTTTTGGATGAGAAGTTAAACCAAGGTACTGACTCTCTGTGGTCGTTAAAAATCCCAGGATGTCCTTCAAAAAAGAGCCGGGGTTTAACCCCGGCATCCTGGCCAAATTTGCACACTGGCCTCTGGCCCCATATCATAATTGGCTTCATCATTCTGTCCCCTCTCCACCAATCAGGTGGTGTGCGGTCTGGTGCAAAATGGCTGCCAGTGCATCATCTAGGTGGATGCTGCACACTGGTGGTGGATGAGGAGATTCCCCCCATTGAGTAAAGCACTTTGAGTGCCCAGAAAAGCGCCATATAAATGTCAAGAATTATTATTATTATTATTAATATTATTATTATTATTAAACATATGCTGGATAAGTTGGTGGTTCATTCTGCTGTGGCGACCCTAGATTAATAAAGGGACTAAGCCGAAAAGAAAATGAATGAATGAATAAATG